TTTTTCTCAACACGGTGCTCTGAAAGATTTTTATTTGTATATACTCATTGGTATATATAACATTTTCTAGATTAGGGATTGTTCAAGTATTACATAAGCAGATTTATTACAATTCTTTACCCCCCCCCTCCCCTTTGTCAGCAAAAGTAAGCAAATTTCTTACCAAAAAAAGCAATCAATAACCCCCCCCCCCGCCCCCCCTATAGTGCTTACGTAATACTTGAACGCCCCTTATATTATTTTTTATTTATGTTATTTAAATTCAGAATCTAAATTTGGTATCGATCAAAGGGACATTTGGTCGAATAACATTTTCCCAGTTATAATTTCCCAGAATTTATCGATGAATAGATAGTAATATATGAAGGTTTGGGGTTAAAAAAGTCCACCACCGATGTGTCAGAAACCAGTAAAGTTAAGCATTGTTTTACAACAATATTTGAAGTAGAGGGAAAAAGATGTATAACCAGCTATAACCTTGATTCTTATGACTATCGGGAGATAAACAGTAATCTTTGAAATCCATAATAAAAGTATTGTCTTCCGTTGGTAGTTTTTTTCGCATTAGTTAAAAGTGTAATTATTTTGTAAAATTAAAATAAGACATTGTCCTGTTTGCCACCTTAGTTAGTTACCCCGCCTATAGGGAGAAAAGGTCTAAATAACAAATTTTTGAAAGACATCAAGTCATTTCTACAAATGATGAAGTAGCTGGCAGTTTTACTGAACGTCGTCAGATAATTGTTCGTTTTAAATGTGTTATTTGCTGTAATATAATTGTTATGGTTTTCACAATATAGTTTATATTTGCTCAAAGTCAAATTGGACCTTTGTGCCTCGCCCTGCTCTACATATATACTTTTTATTAAATTTTACTTCAATTCATCGAATATTACTTTAAACTTTTCAAAAGAAGGTCAAAGAAGAAATACTTAATTCATTTTCTATCTCTCCTCGCAAAAATTTGAAATTTTGTATAAGCTCAGTAGTATTATTTACAATTAAACACAAAATCCAGAATCTAAAAAGAATCCGAAAAACTTGAAACGTAATCAATAAGTCGAAAGACCAAAAAGGACTTGGTTTGGAATATACCATGTTTTCTATAGAAAGTGTATAAAACTTCCAGTTTGATTGTATTGACAAAATATAGACAAACTAATAGGGTTTATAATACCTCATTGTATATAGCATTCAAACAACACATCCTTATACGCTTAAAGTATTAATATTTTTGATTCTCTAAAAATTGTTTAGAATATACTTTTGATAAAAGTGCATTATTTTTCATATATTGCGTCTAGCATAGTATATAGTTTATAGGCCAGGCAATTGTTTTAAAATAATATGCTTTCAATCCAAATCTTTGACTCAGACAATCAGTTTTACCCTTAGTTTATTGAATAAGAAGCATGTTGTACCATATGTATATCTATCAAGTTCAGTGGTACTGAGATTCGGGCAACATCTATTTTTTATACTACTCTATGGTAAGGATTGATCACCTTTAAGATTGTTTATAGTTTTTAGACCGTTCTTTCACTTTTTTAATAGTTTTTAATTAAAAAGCGTCGCCAGAGATCCAATAAAATAAACACAAAGTGAGGTATCGGTGTATACATTCTAACAAAAATTGCAGCCTGTAATTATTATCACAATCATTATTTGTAAAATAACTTTAAAATTGAAATATATTTATTTATATATTTTAACTCCAAAATATGTCATCATTCAACAACTTAAACTATATTCAGTTGATGAACACATTTTGCATTTTTATTAAAATGTAATATAAAATGATAATATTCCAGATATGCCCGAGAAGGCGCTGATAGAACAAAGGGAAAAGATTTAATAGCATATCTTATGAGTGAATTACAATTAACTAATGCAGAAATACGTGAAAAATTGAATAGGCATAACTATTGGTGCCATGTTCCAGTTGTATCAGCAGAAGCAACTCTAAATATGTTAAAGCAAAAATCTTTTTTGAATACACATCTGATAAATAATATTCACATACTTTTATATCCAAAGTGAGTAATTTTCTTGTTCAATATTATTGCTGGCATGATACATATGTTACTTTAATAATTTTATGCATAATTTTCATATTTACTCTATATGAAATTAGGCATTTGATAAATATGAAATTGTTTTTTAAATATTGAAAGCCTTAGATATTGAAAATTAAATGTCTTTTATATAATATAGTTGCATACCATTTTGATTTTACATATCATTCAATGTTATTATTAGTATGCTGCTTTAAATATAACTAAATTGAGTTTTATTTTACTTTGAGTATATTATAAGTGTTTACTTTTTAAATTTAGTTTATAATTTCAATATTATTAACCTCATTTTTTATTTTTAGAGCTGAGGTTGAAAGAATTTTAGAAGAATTATCATCAAGTAGAACACATAGTGATTTGCCTACAATAACAGATTTAACTCAAATTGATAGTAACAAGATATTGGCCTTGTGTATGTATATATTGGAGAAAAAACATCATTTTACTGGAAATGGTATTTGGGATGATCAAGCACAAGTAAGTAATTTTTTCAATTCTACATCAATAGTTATGATTGTGCACGTATTCAGTTATTCAAACACTCTAACTTTAGTTAAACCTTTAAATGGAATCTTTGAAATCCATAAAAATGGTTTCAACTATATTTTTTCAAGTGACTGTTTAAGACTAATGAAATGAATTTTCATTTCTTTTACATTATTTAATAATTTGTTTTTGGTTATACTATAACATTTCGAAACATAAAGCTAAATAAAAGGGATTTTTTCACATTTAGCTTATGTATATATTTATATATATATATATATATATATATATATAACCAGATTTCATTTTTGTGAAATCAATTTAAAAGATACACCATAGAATAGATCCATTATTTATGATTTTCCAACGCACTCCTTGAATATTTGCCATATTTGACTAAACAAGCAAAATTTACTTTAAAATAATTAAGAAAGAGGTTTATTTCACCTGGTTATAGATATTTATCTTAATTAGAAGTTCACATGCATGAAATACAGGTTTAAACATTCTGAAGACTTTCAAACGCTTCTAATATGATCAGCCTAATTGATTGGCTGTTTTTACTGTGATATATTATATTGATATTATCATTTGTTTTGCTTAAATTTTGTTATTTAGGTTTTTTGCAGCACACAATTTTATATATGGAATACTCGTCAATTATAATAATGTTACTAGAAATGAAATTTTATAAAACAAAATTAGCATTTCTAATGTTTTAAATATTTCGAAATATCTAAACATACAGTCTGCCTTTGGTTTGCTTCATTAGTGAATTAGTCATAATAATAATGATCGTGAACCATATTTCTATGCCAAAAGAATTAATTCATTAGTGCAGCATGTGCACCTAAAAAATAATTTCTATTTTTCAAATAATTTGTTACATAAACATTAATAATTTTTGTTTGACTTGTTGATGTTATAAAATAATATAGGTAATTAAGTTTTTGATTTATATACAAGGTGTTTTTGAACTCAATGTCAAGCCAAAACAGGGTGACTGTATTGAATGTAACTATCGTAAAAACAATTTAAAAAAAATATTCCATGCAATTTGCAAGTTATGAGCTTTTAATGTACAACTTAGAGCTCTGGTTAAACTGTGGGCATTTTTAGTTATTATGGTTATTTTTTTTTATTAATTCTGTTCAATTAAACTTTGGAACCGTAATTTCTAGGACCACAGTCAAAAAAAACGATACAGTACCCTAAAATTCCTAGAACTAAAACTATTCGTTAAACTATGAATTTAAAATTTTCAAAATCGATACACTTTAAAAGGCCGTTATTTGAAAAAAAAAATCAATGTACTTTGGCAAGTTCCATTAATAATTCAAAAAAATTATATTGTGCAATTCTGATTAAATTTTAATAAAAGTTGCCAAGCCATTTTAGTAAATTTTTTTAAAAGGCCTTTCAAAGCCTATCAATATTGAAAATTTTAAATTCATAGTTTAACAATTAGCAAACTTGGAGCAATTGTTTCATTATTTTTTAGAACTATTTAACGATTACTGTTTCAGAATTTAAATGAACAAAATCAATAAAAATTTACCCCAATAACCGAAATAATCATAGTTCGACCAAAGCTATAGCTTGTACCTAAGGGCTCTTAATATTAAAATTGCATGGGATATTTTTTTTCTTTTTTTTCATGATAGTTATCAGTACTGTCACCCCATTTTGGCTTGACATTGAATTCTGGGACACTCTATATATACTTCTAGAGCACATATAAAGATCAAGTTCGGCTATTTGTAATCGTAATTAATTTTTGTAGCTTTGATGATTGTGTATTTCATTTTATTAAGGATCAAACTACAACGATTGACGCAGGTACATCATTACCGCTGGAGACTCTTGGTCGGAATATCAATTATAGGTATATGTCTAAGAATTAATCTATAAATTATTTATTTAAAAAAATGTTGCTTATATAATAATATTTTAAATTTGTATTGTTCTTATAATAATAAATTTTATTCGATAAATTTATATTCGATATGTTTATGTTTCCACCAGATCATCTGATTTGTTAATTTCCCGAAGGAGAAGTTTGTTTTCATCAAAAAATCTGATTCGATAATTTTATGTTTTCTCGACGTTTCAAGCCATTCTGAATCGAATGAGACCAAATTTGGAAAAAGTATGTGTGTGCGTGTGCGTGTACGAGTATGTGAACAGATTTTTTGCCGTAAATCGACGTTTTCTCAAAAACGGCTGGATGAAAACTAATCGACTGGATGAAGACTATTGTTTGTCAGTTTTGTGCGACGATCGGCAAAGCCGTTTCTTTATTAATGTCAGAAAAGTGTAAAATTTTCGTCCACGTTTTAGCCCGCAATTCTGAATCGATTTTGAAAATTCAAAAACCGTTCGAAAGATATTGGTTGGGAATTGAGCTGATTAGTTTTTGGTAGAGATCGGCCGGACTGTTTTCTTATAATAGTGTTAAAAAAAATATTTTGACGATTTTTGTTATTATTTTTTGAAAGTAGATACCATAGACTTATAGATCATACTAAAATATTAAGGCCTTGCGACAACTCGTTTAGCTTCAAAAATTCGTCAAAATTTTGCAAAAATTAGTATCGTTTTTTGGCATTTGTCAAAATTAGACCTTTCATCGAAACTCCTGAGCCGATTTTAGAAATTTAGAAACCATTTGATGTATCTCGATGTGGATTATCGTTTCTCAGTTTTTTGCGAACATTTATGTTTTCTTAACATTTCAAGTCATTCGGAATCGTTTAATATCAAGATTGGAAAAAGCATGTGTGCGTATGTATTTGAGCCAAAATTTGTCCTTTTGCCGACGTTTTCTCAAAAATGTCTGCGTCGATTCCGTTTCTTTATAATAATATATTTTATAATTAGTAGATAAGTGCAGAATCTTTCTGTCACTTTTTCACAAAAAATTCTGATTCGAAGTTGAAAATCAAAAAGAAAAACGCTCGATATCAGTTGAAAATCGTACTGATCAGTTTTTGGTAAAGATTGGGAGGCCTTTTCTTCATTATTAATTGTTGATTTTTTATAGAGATAATATAGTCATATCATATCATATTATAAGCTTACGAACAGTTAGACCAAGAGCCAGTGAACCTTTTGAATAACGGTGTTCCTGTAAGGCTGAAAACTTTTGTACAGGTGATTCTTAACGTGCTAAGTACGGAAACGACGGTCTGGCAGGTTTTAGCCCTGCACATCATGGTCGTCCAGGCGTTTGAAAGTGTAAAAAATACCCGAAAATTAAACTTGTTCCTGTAAGGTTCAAATTTTTATACGATGTAATTCACTCATTGAGAAGTTCGAAAATCAATCTGCCAGACCATTTCGACCTGCACAAGTACCTGCCAGACGAGCCGGAAAGTGAGCAAAAAATGCCCCAAAATAAACTTTGTCCTGTAAAGCTGGAATTTACATATGTGTTTATCTAAGCAATTCGAAAAAGGTCTGTGCAATTGCCAGACCATTCTGGCTAGCATAAGCCCTTGCCAGACGAGGGCAAAAATGCTATGGCGGGAGGGCGAATAATAGGCGTTGCGTGAAAACTTAGCATATATTCAAACTATATTATAAGAAATTACAAATTATGGTCAAAATAAATTTGATTAGTTACAATGAAATATATATCACCATGATTTAATCATCATTATCAGATATATCGCTAATTAATACTTCAATTCAGGCTTCTATTGAGTAGCTATTGAATTTTATGAAAATAGGTGAAAATTGGAAAAAAACATTCATTTCTGAATGTTCAACGGAGGGTAAGAGATTTGAAGAAAAAATTTCACAGGTGAAAATTATGAATTTCTTCTTCAGAAAAAAAGAAGAAACCTATTAAAGCTAATAATAAAATTCACGAAATTCGTGTCCAACGTGATTTGGTTGGTCGCCTATTAGCGCGATAAATCCAATAAAATATTGATCTTGAAAAAATATTATCATATCCCATTACAATTGTTAGCTTCCCGAAAAAGTTTGTTTTCATCAAAAAATCTGATTCGTTAATTTTATGTTTTCTCGACGTTTCAAGCCATTCTGAATCGAATGAGACCAAATTTGGAAAAAGTATGTATGTGTGAACAGATTTTTTTCCGTAAGTAAATCGACGTTTTCTCAAAAACGACTGGACCGATTTAAAAATTCATCAAAATTTGCAGAAAATAATATCGCTTTTTTTGGCATTTATCAAAATTAGACCTTTTATCGACGTTTGCTCAAAAACGCCTGAACCCATTTCAGAAATTCAAAAGCCATTTGATGTACCTCGATGAGGACTATCGTTTGTCTGTTTAGTGCGACGATCTGCCGTTTCTTTGTAATTTGGAGAAATTGTTAAACTTTTCGTCCACATTTAAGCTCATACCACCGAATTGATTTTAAAAAATCAAAAAACTGTTCGAAAGATATTAGTTGGGAATGATACTGATTAGTTTTAGGTGAAAATCTACCGAGCCGTTTTCTTGTAATTTAATGTTGAAAACAAAATTTAAGCCGATTTTCATGGAATTTTTTTGGGGGATATATATATCATGGTCTTATAGAATTTAGTGAGATATTACCGCATTACGACAAGTAGTTTAATTTTAAAAATTCATCAAAGTTTGAGAAAATAAGTAGTTAATTTCACATTTGTTAAAATTAAACTTAGACAATTTACTTGGTATAACGCCAGAGTACTTGGTCTTAATGAACATACTGAACCATTGAAATCTTACGAAAACTGGTTCTTTGCTTTTAGAAAATACCCCGAGTTAACGTCGTGTTCGTTCGTTTTCAATTATCTGCAATAAATCCACTCGTAATACTTTTAATCACTCATAAATTAATTTATTTTTTATTGATTAAGTCGGGAAGTATATGTAACTTGCCTCAAGGCAAAATACGAATACCAACTAGTTTTAATGTCACTTTGCCACGCAGATGGAACTATCTATAAAACCGCGAAATCAGCAATGATTGAAGTCTTACAAGCAACT